ATTATTAAATCAAACCATAAGATAGTATCCCAAAGAGACGCCACTTTTAAACTGTGTGAAAAGCATGACAGGAATTCAGTGAGTCTCTCTGGAGCCGAGGACCGGGAAAATATGGACTAGTCTGAACATGTTTTGAACAAGCTCTCATCTGGCATCTACCCAAGTGCCCGGCTAAACCCAAAAGTGGGTAGCACTTCATAAATCTCCAAATCACTTCATCGTCGTAATGACATTACACTTCATTACAGTGTAAGCTGGTGGCAGGATAAAAGAGGTCTGTGTGTATTTGGTCAGCGAGGGGGACTGTCGACTTGACTTTAAATCCGTTAAAAGCAACTGGTGGCCCCAAGTGCAACAAAGGACATGTGTGACCTGTTTTGACTGCTTATTCGCAAGGCTGCTCGTTTGGTTTGCTAGCTGCATTCCTCATGTTCTGTGGTTATTTGAGCATACCTGCATTAGCCTTGCTTTGCGCAGGCAATACCAACACAGCCATTCACTTCCCTTTTCCTTCTCTGCACGACATTGAATTACTGTACGAGCATAGATTTGGTGCAGTATCATTTAGACTTAACTACATCTTACAAACTTAAATCCCAGGGAGAGTGACTCTTCAGTCACAATCACGATGGCCTTAACAAACCAGTTAGTGTGAGCAGGCGCGCACACTTGACATCCCTGCACGAGAGGTCAGTCAGCATGTGACCAGTGTTTGCACTTGCCCCCGCTGTGCCACCTCAGGTTGGGGCGTTTATTCCTATGGCTTACACAGAGCCGATGCTCTTAGGGAATAGCACGGCCAAATAGCTTGCAGTTCCTGCTAAGCTCAGATCATGAGGGAGATTTGCAATGCACATTTTAGATTTGAATGAAATAGCAAACTGGTCTAGTCCAGGATGGCGTGCGTAAAGGGTGACACTTGGTCTCCTTCCCTGGCAATGAACGACCAACCGTTCATGCAAATGCAAACTGACTTTGGTCTACTGATAAAAATCATCACTCCTATAAAAAGGCACATGGAGGATCCAAACAAAACAACAACGCATTGTTTTTAAGCTCAAGTGAATGTAAAGTTGCTTTGTCTTGGTTTTCTCATCGCTAGATTAGAAGAGTGACATTAACTATTAATGATTTCTCTAAAGGTCTCCATATGTGTCTCCTGAGCCTGTAAGAATGGGACACCAGGCGGTGTGAGAAACAGGCCGCGGAGCGAAACCACAGCAGTCCCTTTCAGTGACCTCTCCCCTGGGGGAATCCTCTTACAGCACTTCCCCTGAACTCTAAGGGGCATTTCTATGGAAAGGTAACACGGTTATCTGCTCATCAATGGAACACAATGGCTCGATTTTTAGAAGCTGAATGGCTGTATGAAACTGGTACATGACAAAGACAGGGGTTTTAACTAAGGGATGTCAAAGGAAGATTGTCTTTCAATTGAATAAATGATTGCAAATTGTTACTTCCTTGTATATGAGGCCACTGGAAAGGGCATTCAGATTTCCGCTGTTCTTAGAGCCTATGTTTAGGTTAATTTGCCAACTGCCCTCCGTAATGCATATACCCGCATCCGGCAGTGTAAAGGTTGCTAATACGGATTAATGATGGCTGTGGAGGCTATCCAAACATAGAACTCCACTTGTCCGATCGCGCCGGTACTAAAGCGGAGGCGGTGGATTCCTTAATAGGGGTGAGGCGTCTGCACAGCGTCTGTTCACACTCCAGTTTGGGAAGACTCTCTTTTTAGCAAGATAAGGATCACGAGCCATCATTGCCCACACCTCACTATCACCTCCACAGATAAGGCTGCTGAAGGTACCCATCAGCGGCATCAATCGGTGTGTGTTGACTCGGACACAATGCTGTTATTTTTCCGTGCACACCCTCGGTTAAAGAAAAAACGCACTTAGCACATGTTTGTCACCTTTGTGTCGACCTAATTGCCTCTTTGGCACTTAGGTGGCATTCGAGAGGCAGGATACAGACACTCACACCCTTGTGTTTCCATCCACATGACGTGGGGAAGGAATAGTGTTCAACCCGGGTCCCTTATCTGACCATTCATATCAGACTTCTGCTAATAGGCAACATTCACAAAAAAGACATGAAACTGTAGCTCCATTACAGTGCTGATAAACTAATATAGCCTGGACTTGTAGACGTGTGCCAAAAAAGGGGTATGAGATAGATGTTGGGCCACTTGATCAGCAGGACTTCAATGATGGATTCTTGCTCAAAATAAACCCATCACATGCTTAATCCATGTCCATGTATACAGGGCTTTGAAATTTGATTAGCCAGTATTTAAGTTTAGAAAATGCTGGAGGACTTCCAGAGCGTGCTGAACTGAGTCTGGATAAAAGCTACTCAGTCAGACAGTAGCTGTGCAGGTTTGCATGTTTGGGATGCCTTGTTAAAACTTGGCAGTCTTGCTCCCAGTGACTACATAAAGTAAGTGTGTAAATGAAAAACTATTCAGCTTAGTTTGGGCCAAACATTCTCTCAACAGTGCCAGCCATTCTTAGCTGAAGCATTACCCAAGTGGATTCAGGACTATATTTGGGAAAAGACTAACAGCAACTTAAAAGTTTGACTTAGAGAACATGGGTAATGTCTCTAGGTATACATCTTAAAATCTAACCCTACATTTAAAAAGAAGTGTGCAAAAAAACACAAAATGTAATGTATATACTGTTAAAAGACAAACATAGTTCTGTGACATCCATGCTGTCATTAGAAGAGAGTGCTTATTTGCCTGGGGGACCTACTCATGACATATGGAATACCTATCACAGGACACCACAGGTCCAGCTGGAAGATCAGAGCTTGTGGTGAAGGAAATGCGCTTCAGGGCATCTCCAGTCCCCATAAGAAAAAGAAAGAACCAAATGCCCTTTCACTGGCAGTAAACATCCACCAACCACTGCTTGATCTCCCTGAACAATGCAAGTGATTAACAACAGCTTCAATACACAAAAGCAGTCCCTGTCCTACTGAAGAAAACAACCCGAGTCAAATGAGAGCAAAAATCATCATACAGTGCTTTCTTGGAGTTTAATTTGACTTCTTTCACGCAGGCGCAACAACCTAGCAACACCCGTGTTTGCAATTGCTGTGAACAGGTCATGACCGTGCCCTCGACATGGGTTTTACTTTGGTGTGATGCTGTGTGTCTTTGGTATAAAAGGATTACAAAGTTGTTTTCTTCAGGTAAACAACACCAGTGGTAACATGCCATACGGTGGCTGCGTGCAGTGGTCACTGATGACAACAAAAAAAGGGCTTTTTAGCTTGTAATGTTAGATGGCGCTCAAGATATTAGTCCTAAAAACATTCTTAAGACTAGACTGACACTAAAGCTATAAGACCAATTAGTCATCAATGGAGTGATTTAACTGTTGACAACAAGCAGCTCTTTATTTGAGATTTTCAGCTTTATTTGTTTTGTGGCCGTCGTTGCTTAAAGGCAGATTGAATTTCTTGCAAAGTAACTGCAGTCTACACGCACTGACACTGCCTCTAACCAAAGCAAAGGGCCATTTAGCCTTGATTGACCACAATGTGAAAAGTCACATTTCAGTCATGACTTTGCAAGGCTGAATCATCTGCTCTGTTGACTTTCGAGCGCACCATGTTTTCAAATGGGCTGCATGAAATACCCCCAAGAATGTTCTGCTGTCATTTTAGTTAGTTCACTTCCAGCGTGTTTTTTCGATTCGTAAATCCACTGGTCAAGACCTACAGAGACAACTGCTGAGTCAGATGTGCAGAAGAGTGACAGCAATGGGGCCCTGTGTAGACAACTAATCCCCCATCCATGCGTGCCATGGCTGGGCTGTTTTCACTGGACACACTGACAATAACCCCTCCACAATCCCCTTTAGCTCCCAACTATAGATCAGCACTGGCAGGGCTGCCAATCAGCAGAGACTGTGCTATACAACACCACCATAACCCCAAACAACAACAAAAGACTTATTATGAGATTAAAAAGGAAGTCCTCTATGTTTTGTTTTAGGAAGTTTCTCAATACAATGACAGTACAGCAGAGGGCTTATATGGCCATATAAACAGCCCATTACTCTTTTTGCCATTTAGTATACACACACTTCACCTTTTATGTATTTGGAGCAATAGCACTCTCTCTATTTCCACTTCACATACCACTGGGTGTCCCTCACCAGACATGGCTAGGCTGTGACAGAACACTGGTTCAAATAGTTCTGATGTCATGACCACAGCAGGCATTCCTCTCAGCACCTGAAACAGGTAGTGTTGTTATAATGTCACAGCCTCCAAAGTACTTAAGCGATTGTCCCTAAAAGGTGTGTTTAATTCAAATCATTTGACTTCTTTAGAGGGAGCAAGATTGCAACATAAAGGGAAGATGAGTACTTGTCACACATCACATTTGATTGAATTAAGTTCAATGAGTGAGTAAGGCGGGCTATGACTGTGTTCAGTGTCATTCTTTACTAGTTAAGTTACACAACAATACTTGTTTTACATTAGAGACCCTGAGGCAAAACAATGACAGACAAGAGTTTCTGTGGTTAAGTGTTACTGACTTCAGGAATTTCACATTAAAAAGTTTGGGGAAAAAAGGTTAGGCTATGTTACTTAAAAAAACATGTATTTTCTTCAAAAGTGTTGGAGTAAATTGCTTGTTGCTTTGAGCAAAAAGGTGACACAAACACAACATTGAAACGCTACAATGAGCAGTAATATTAACTTATGGGTTTAAACAGCTAGCATAAGCGAAATTGATCAATTTACTTAATCTTAAGTGAGAGTTAAACAAAGTGCAGTCCCATTGTTAAGCGCTTCGGTTGAGGTATGTGGTGACACAAGAGCAGTTTCTACGAAACTAGCTCGAGATAACAGAAGAGCGACTCAAAGTTTAGAAAGAGAAGCTTTAGAAGAGCAGTAAATACGTAAATGAGCTTTTTTTCTGTCAAAAACATGCTAATAAACGTAACATACAAAGTGTTCCCCGGACTTACCTCTCATCCATTCGAAAACTTGCTTTGGCGTCCACTTCGTTATCGGCTCCATGGCGACTTTAACAGCTATTACAGCGACAGAAATGTCCCAAAGTTTGGCGACGAGGTTTGACAATTTAAACAGAAAATAAATTGCTGTCACAATCTCCTCAACAGGTCTGCGCCGCTCCTCTGTTTGTGTTCAATGAACATCAACTCTCAGTACACGCGTGAATGAGCGGAGGCTGGCCCACAATCCCCCACAGTTCCTCCGTTGTGGAATCAAGGCTGCATTCATGTACGACTGGGAATACTGGGAAAAATCACAACTTAAATAACAAAACGGCCAAGCACGCCCTAAAGAAAGACAATGTTCTCAGCCACATACACACTGGAAGAATATCATAGTTTATATTGCCTTCATTGTACTCTTATTTTATTTAAGTAATCATTGATATTAATGAAAGTTCCTCATGTGTGCATGTTTATCGAAACTAATTATGATGATGCATTTCCCTCTTTTTGATAAAAGCAAGCTTTTTCTGCTTTACGTTGCAACAGCTAATTGTATACTCATTTATTAACAAAACCAATTGAACATACAACAATAATATATACTTTTTGTCAACAGTTTACCGTTTTAGGACATGGATGCCAGAGATTACGGAGGGGAATTGAATGCAGCGTGTGATGTTGGTAGTTTCTGGGTGTTCACCGCCCTCATTTGAAACTGAAGGCATGTACATAATGATGCCCAATTTATATTTTGTTGCTCCTGGATGAACAAAAAAAGTTTTAGAAACACAGATTATGTGAGTCTGTCAACATAATTAAAATAGATTGAATGTCAGTGCTTAATTTTGTACAACGTGCATCAATCATCTTATCTCTGAATTCATGAGTTAGAGCACGCTGATAATGGCTCATTTATATGAAAAACTCATTAGGGTGTTTTTACTGTTTTTATCAATCATGTTTGCAGTCTCCATCTTATATACATGTATCCATCCCATGCCTATTTCAACTTCAGAAGTATGAAGAACTTTTATTTTTCAATGAACAAAATGTGACTCACTGCTGCCCTCTGTTGGTAACTTAGTTATTTGCAAGTCACACAATCTCATTTAATTGTTAAAGGTCCCATTTCATGGCCATTTCTACTGATCATAATTCCATTGAATAGGTATACTAGAATAGATTTATATTGTGCAATGTTCCAAACTCACATTGGTTTCTCATACAGCATCTCTGTATAGTATATTCACTCTCTGTCTTAAATGGCTTGTTGGAGCTCAGCCAGAGTTGAATCTTTATGGTTTATTGCACTAGTAAGTTGCTTTGGATAATTATTATTATGATTGATTATAAAGCAATAAAAAACCTTTTGGATTGTGCTTCTCTCCTGTCAATGACAATAGGTTATGTGCATGGTAAAGAGTGCATACATTTCCAAATATCCAAACGCTTATTCTAAATAAGTTAAACTCCAGCCTGTTTTGGCCCTGTACCTTCTGAAGAGGCTTTGAAAAAGATGGCAGTTTTACTATTATGGTATGTAACATTAAGTAACCTTTCCTGACTTGTTCTTATAACAATCTGAAAACACCTTGCATGGGAGAGTCCCGGCCCTTCCTATCACTCCATTGCGGTACAGCTGGAAGCGTCTCTGCACTGTAATCATCTGCAGATTAAAGCTCGGCTGCTGTCAAACCTTGGCATGGTTTTTTGTCTGGCATAAATATATTGGAAACCCAATACAGTGATATAAGACAATTAAGTTTTCCCTGTTCCAGCATGCTGACTGAGACGAGACATATTTTGTGTCCTTTCTTTACATGAAAGTTAATTAAAGATTAAAACCTAACCGAGTAATATAGGTGTTGACTGACAGGTATAATGCCCTAGGTAGGCTTTGAATAGAAAACTTGACAAGAAGTGTGTGAGTGAGTGATCATGGTTAGCAAAGTATAAGACAAAAAAGAAGCAAAGATATCTCTGTGAAGCATTTCAAGTTGCTGAAGTTTTACCATTGTTTACATTCAGAGTTTGTAGGTGATTAATGCCCCTTGAGTAACTTTTTATCTTCTTTAAGTCAAGATAAACAGTGTGTTTGTGTAGATTGTTGCCAGGCTTCCCAAATGTCTCTGACTGCAGCAAATGGGAGAGTCTGATCCACGCTCTGTTCTCATGGGAGTGGGCTCCATTAAACAAGATCAGGGTGGTGTGGAATTCAGGGGAGGTCCTCCCTGATAGGATTAAAGGAATCATGGGATTGTTGTGGAGGTGAGACGGAGGGATGGAAAGTGTGCTTTGGTCTGTGGAGGAGGCCCAAGCTTTAAAGCTGAGAGAGGGGGGAAGACTTGAGCGCTGTATTGGTTACACTATCATTGTTGTTCTAGGATTGTATTACAAAAAAAGTCAGCACTTCCGCACACAAAAGGTCACGTTAGATAATCACAATGACCAACTTCTTCTTTCAAAGCTCCCAAAACACTCAAAGTAAAACAAAGACTCGCAAAGATAAGCAAACTCTTCATGGCCTCGCTTGTATCCTGAATCAACATTTATTTCAGCATCAAAATACAGGAAGTCCAGGTTTGGCACTGTATATTATTCTGGGATCTACATTAGGATCAGGCTAATAATATCATACAAACAACGGCAGGAGAAACACCGGTACAGGAAGTATTCCACTTTGCTATCTAAGATGACAGGATATGAAGGGCTAAAGATGTTGTTAGATAATATAAAGCCACTTCCTGCCCCTGACAGCTTCAGTCTGAACAGTTTTACTGTAGGAGAGGAAATGTCACCTTCTGTGTGTGTCACCATATTGTTTAAATGTAGCTCACAACATCACAGATCAGAGATTATAGATGGTATTACATGACTAGAAAAAGACAGCTACTCTGGACTTACATGTGGCCTTTAAAAAAAAAAAGGGTGTCAAAGCATTTGAACCGTTCACATTATTGTTTTCTTTTATTTCCTCTACACTGCTCTTATTCTTTCTCTTTGAGGCACACGATCCAGACATTAGCATTGACACTAAGATGCCTCATCACAGTGTAAAGGAGGGGGCTGATATAAAGAGAGCAGTGTAGTAAAAGGAAACACACAAAAGATCCTGTGTACTGATGTTGTTGCTGGGGACTTAAGGGAAGATGAAGCGTCAGGTTCTTGAAGTCTTATTTTGGAAGAAAGTACATTTCACATACCCCGAAATAGGTTCGTACCAAGAAATGAAAATATGTGCATGTAGATCTCTAAACATATTCTCTATGCTTTTTATAGCTGGCAGCCATCTGATGAGTTGAGTTTCAACGTCGAAATTACAAGATCAAGAAGAGATACATATTGTTGCTGTTCAAACAACATTAAATACAGTCTGTAGAATAAAAGATTTTACTACAGTGAAACGTCAAAGGTGTAATGCTGTTTTTCTTTTTAGGGGACATTCTGTGGGTTTGAAGGGACGGCGGGTCTGGCGTTGAGGTACTCCAGAACAAACACCTGGATGATCTTGTTGAGGTTCTGAATGGTGGCGCGATCCAGGTTCTGCTCGTTGTCGTCAAACGTGTGCCATACAGACGGGAAAGGGGAGGGGATCAGATGGAGGACGCGCACACCTGAGAGAAAAGCATGGGATGAGGACAGAGAAATACAATATGTCATCATTGTTGCTGTATTTGTGTTACTTTGTTGGGTTTACCTCTGTTTAGGAATGGTATATGATCATCTTGAACGTGACCAACCGGTATATTGGGCCAGAAATATTGCACGCTGTCAGGATGATCCACAAGCTGGTTCATGGAGTGTAAACGCTTTTCTGAGAATATAAGAGGGAAGACAAAGAGTGAGTTAGTTCAGATTTAAGAAAAATAAAACATGCTAAGGTATAATTTCTTAATTGTGTCAAAAAATTATTGAATAGTTTGCTTTGCTTGATTTTGTGTTTATGGTTTTTTAATTGTCAACTCAAGCTACTTTTGTTTTCCTTTCTTACACATTGCATAACTGTAACCACATTTTGATGGATTAAATGTTTGTAAATTCTGATTAATAACATAATTGTTTTTAAAGGAAACCGGATCCATTCAAAACAAAGGAAAAACCAAGGACAAAAATCTATCTTGCTAAAAATGAGTGAGGAAATAGGATTTTAATCCTCTATAAGTTCTTTAGACTGAAAATAAACACTATCCACTATATGCAAAATCTAAACAGTGCAATCACAACAACACAATAGCTTCAATGTGACAAATGCACAATCATTTGACAGTTGCCACATTTGCCCTTAAGCGATGATGATGGTCTGAATATGACTGACTTATTAATTACTTAAAGTGACTCCTGTTTGTGGCACACCTTCACCATAGAAAACAGTTCTTCACAGTGTGTACAATAGTAGGAAGACTTTGGATTATTCACCGATGCTCTGCAGCCTAGAGAGCCAGTGTGATGTGCTGGGGAACTCGTTGCCAAAGCTCGGGCTCGGGCCCCCGATCAGGTCCAACAACACCAACAGATCCTGGAGGAGAATAAACAAGGTCTGGTGATCTCTCATGAGAAACTCTATAAATCCTGAAGAAAAGTTATAGTAAAAGCATAAGAAGCCAGTTCCCATCACACCTCAGAGACCCTGCTTTGACATCACTCCTCAATGTTCAAACACACACACACACACACACACACACACACACACACACACACACACACACACACACACATACACACACACACACAAGAGACTGTCTGCTTTATCTCCACAGGAATGTCTATATTTGTAGATAGTCGCTCCATGGTTACAATTCAGAAACATTTACCAATTAACTTGACATCTTCTTATCATATACTGTGTAATACATGATGTTTAATATGAAGACACCCAAGCCCTCCCAGATGATAAAATGACCAGCTTTGTGATCTGACATTCCTTGGTAATACAAAACAATTTAAGACATGCACCCGCCTTGTTAGGAATTTTTCTGTCTACAAGATCAGTGCTTAGCAGGTTGCACTTGAAGTGATGTGGGCTAACAGAAGTGCGTTTTTCAGTGTGATTATAATCATTTAAAGGTCAACTATTATGCAAAATCCACTTGTTCCTTTCTTTTAAACATAAACACATGTCCCCTCTGTGTAAAGAGATCCTTTAAAAGATTTGCTCTCTTTTTGTCCTGATCCATTTATATAAAAACCTGTCTGAAAATTAGCTGATCCGATTTTGGCCACTTTGTGATGTCATAATAACAACAAACAAGATAACCCCCCCCCACACACACACACACACACACCTTATCACCTGAATCTCCTCCTAGAGCACCATTGTGTTTTTTTTTTAACAAAATATCTTGCAGAGGGGCGTGGGGAGTGGCTCCTTATTTTCATCTAAAGTAACAGACCCAGAATCAGCACTTTTGGGGCTGAAACAGAGGGGATTATGGGATGCTACAATGGGTGATCTGTTTGGTATTTGAAGCCAAACACTCCAGAGACATGTTTTGTATATATCTGAGAATTATATTATAATGATGAAAAAGAGTACGGACCTTTAAGGTGGTTTAGGCAGAAAAAAAGAACTGTGTTGTACCATGCCGTGTAGCTGGTTGGTGTCCGTGGCTCCTGCAGGGTGGGGGGTGGCCTCCATCTTCTGTGCCAGGTGCCGGGAGCCATAAAGGGAGTCTGTGGGGGTCCACTGGAAAAGAGCCTCTTCGCCATCAAAGAAGAGCAACTGCAGGGTGAGGTCAGCACTGGAGCTCTGCATGGGGGGTAAACAGAGGACAGTCAAGGCATTGACTTCAATGCAGACTTTCCTGCAGCAATCAGACTCTACAACCCCCACGGCCCCTGGAAGACCCCTGGTAGACCCCCCAAAAATAGAGACTCATGCAATCCTATACAATAAACCTGCAATGTGCAATATAAACACTATCTGCCATTTGTACGCTATAATCACTTTAAAGTAGAAAATACTTATTTTTTATAAATGTTCCAACTTATATTCTTTTATGTCACAATACTTCAATGCCATCTATGCCACTTAGTTTACCAAAATGACTGCTATACATTTTTCGCCATGGTTCTGTAATTATTTGTCTTTATTTATTATTAATGTGTGCATTACTTTCTTTATTATTTAATATCTGATTTTTACCTGCGAAAATTACGGAAATGACTAATAAAGGATTTCTCATTTCTGAGTCAGAATGTTGCTGCCCCCTAGTGGTTTTGAGATGACAGTGAGGTTTTTGGTTTAGTGTGAAATTAGGGCTGTGTAAAGGTATCATATTTTGACTTCCCAATTATTGTGGCTAAAATGAGTTCACTGATTTATTGTGAATTTATGGGGGATTTAGCAATTATTCTCTATATTCTAACAACCCTCAGTTTTTGTTGCACCGCAAATGCTTCTGCTAGTTTTCCTGTAATGCTGGCCACTACTGCCTGCTTTGAATCCCATCTTTATTATTTGTCTTTTAATTTAGTATAAAAGTTGCCCTTCTGTTTTTATTATTATCATTTTGTCTTTTATATCAATCTTTGTGCAGTGTTTATAGTTGTTATTTCACAGTTGCACATAACTGTAGTCGATGTTTTGTTAAAGTCGTCTTTAATGAATTTGTATTGGATTGGAAGTTAACATCCTCCTCTGTGTCGTTTATCAGCTATGGTATTGATTGTGTGTCCGCCTCCATGGCTTGTATTGTATTTGCATTCAGTTGCTATTCCCCCAACGACCTTTGTGACAGGCTGAGTCTGATAAACACGTCCCTGGCTGATCTCTCTCTGTCAGACCTCACTGAGCTGCAGACAGGCCTTTGAGCTGCAGCGAGGAGCGCGCTGCATGAATACTAAGTGTTATGATCCACTTGTTTGTGGAGCAATTATATATAGATTTTTGTTTTAATTCAAACAAAGCATTTTTTTTTCTTTTGTAAAATGTTTTTAAATTCATAAAGGTTCATGGCAATTTACTTTGACCGTTCTTTACAAAGTAATTATATTAACAACAAACTAAATGAAATGGATAATGTATATAATTGTATGTGTCTATCTGCATCTTAATTTTTTGTGACTGAATCACTTCACAAATCAACCATCAATTGTACCTTTTAGTATAAACTTTCTTCTGGCTCTGCTTTAACACGTGAATTTTAACTGATATTCATACTTTTATACATTTTTCACAACCTTTTTACATCTGTATATATTTCACATATATTTTATGTCTCTGTATAGACATAATCATTCCTGATAACATTTAGTTATTCATTTTTAAATTACTGTACATGTCTGCCACAAACGACTTATTTTTTGTATATCTTTTAAAGTCTTTATTATAGCTATCCCTTTAGACTTCTGCCCTATTTCATGAATTAGATCAACATAGATTTTGATTTAATTAAATATTCAATGCACATTATTTGTGCATGATCGAAGCCTTTCTTTGCCAACAAATTTGCACATTAAATGAATAATTGTAACTTAACTTGAATTGTTTCTCATATTTGGGTGAAATGAACACACCTATAGTGATGATCACCTAGTTCCTGTAACCGTCTGCAACATGTTTGGTCTTGTTTTCCCCAGAGCTTGCTGTCATTGGTGATGTTGTTGTATGACTTGCCTGTGATTCATGACCACAACTCAAGTCAGCGCTGGTCACCATCACAAAAACAAATTCACACTTCCAAATAGGGTAGTATGAGTGTCATTTAAAAGCGGGGATTTACTCATCTACACAGGCTCAGAGATAGACCAGTAATGTATTGAACACCCACCTTCTGAGCTTTCAGTTCCTCATCCAGGGCTCGGGCCAGCTCCAGCATCATGGCGCAGGGAACAGCAGAGTCCGTGGCTCCCTGGAACTCCCTGCCGTGCCACTGGGGGGGGTAGTACTTGGAGTCATAGTGGCAGGCCAGGACCAGCTGGCGCGTGGCTGATGAGTTGAGGGTGGCCACTAGGTTAGTGAAGGGCAGGGGGCCGTAGGGGGTTTGTGACATGAACTTATCCTCCATCACCTCCCAGCCCGCCCCCAGGCCAGTCAGGACGGTTTTGATATGCTGTGAACACATGCAAAGATGACACATAATAAGTTGATTTACGTCTATGGTCATTAAACTTGTTTAAACACAAATGAGTCTGCTTTACACCTGTTAGTTCCTAATTCTTCAGGAATGAAACACCCTTTTATAATAACTTCCTTAATTGGCTGTATTTCCTATGATAAATATTGAGCTTGATGAAATAGTAAACAAATGGACATCAACAGGGATTGTATTGATGCCTTCAGATTCATAAATACACACATTAATCATAAGATGAATGTGTGATTTTACACACTGTTCCTCATGCACTATTCTTAATATGAAAATAATAAGCCTTCCAGTCAGTGGTGCCACTCCCTCCTTGAATTAAGCCACTAAGATAATTGGGTAAGTGATTTATCAGTGCCATAAATGTATGAAGCTGTCTCATTTCCTTTTAATTTGGCGCCAAGTCTTTCTGTGGGAAGTACTCTAAAGACTTCTTAATACAGTGGGATGGGATTTGCCTTGGTTCCAATTAAATAACTTGCATTTGCTTTAAAAAAAAGTTACTTAGATCTTTGAGCGTATAAGCCTCCTATGGATGACAGTCTAAAAAGAAAAACAGGGTCTTAACAGATATTATATTTTAGAATTGAGTTTCTGTCAAATAACTCACCTCCTGCACGGCCGTGCTGCCTGCAGAGCCGGGGTACCTGGTGACCAGCAGCGGCCTCAGGTCCCTCTGCCACATCTGCTCCAGGTCAGTGTGAGACACAGCCGTGCTGATCTCAGCTCGTGTTAGAGTGAGGGCTCGGTGATGGAGCTGGACAGAGCCAGAGGAACAAGACAAACAAGAAAAGACAACACAAAATGGATGAGAAACAGCATCGTGCTCTATTGTAGGATGAAATTAAGTGTGTTCACAAAGACTATTGCGAGGTAATCATATCAGCTAAACATCAGTGATGTGATCGGATCCCTGTGATCTACTGTTAAGCATTGCAGTGTTGCAAACAGAGTGTGAAACACAGCAAATTACAAAGCAATATTCACCTCCACCAAACAGTTTGTCTGTGTGATTATTAGAAGGATTAAAGGCAAGCTATTGGCCCATTGCCGAATTTGGGGAGAGGAACCAAAAAACAAATTCAGAAAATGATATTTACTTTCAAAATCATTGCAAGATAGGGCTTGGCTTGAGACTATCCTTCTAGTTACTCCTACTTACCGTCCGTGTCTATTATGACACACTTTCAGATCAACTACTTCTTAGTATAGGATTTGGGAACATTTTCTATGATGCTTTACTATAGAGCAACATGATGATACACATCCTGCAGAACAACTGTGTGTCACAACACTGTCATATCACTGGAAACCACCTACTGGGTCTGTCAAAAGTGGATTTTTGATTGTCCAGTTAATAAGTTACTGCAGGAGAAAATGTACCACAAGAGGGACTTTTTACTGTCAGCTACTGTCATATCACATACATGGTAATGTCTTAAAAATGATACCCTCACACATCTTTGCAGAGAGGCAGGGTCCAATTAGACCAGTGTGAATAAACACTGATTGGATCTTTTCACATTCACACAAAGGCTATAGTAAAAAAAAGGCCTCTCATAAAAAGAGACAGGAAAGTGAAGGGTGCTTGCATGCTCTGCTGTGCCCTAACACATGATTATAAAAGGAAAAGCAAATACACCAGTTTGTTTAGTCAAAGGAGCATGATGTGGATTTGCAGGTTTCGAGCTGTCAATTCAATGCTTGCTAAATTACAGCCATAAGGTTAAAAAAACACATTGATTCTTCGATCCCCATGGCTCTTTTTCATTTGGTCTCAAAGTTCACCTGCTGGTTGTCCTGGTAACTAACTGAACAGAGAGGAACGACAGAGAGCAAGAGGGAAAGAGCTGATGGTGGATATCCGAGTTAAGCCTGTTTGTGTGTTCTCAAAGGTTCTCAATGTAATATACGGGGGTTATAGAATCCATACTGACAATTATTTGACTGATCAATTATTCTGTTGATTTAGGACTGGGCAATATATCGATATCGTTATACGAGTGCATATATTATCTCTTACATTTTGAATATTGTAAATGTTTATTTTCCTGGTTTTAAAGGCTGCATTACAGTAAGGAAATGTAATTTTCTGAATTTACCAGACATTTGGCTTTACTTTTATTGACCTGTACCCACTTAGTCCATAAATACACATTACTGTAATTAAAGTGATCGACATTTCCAAAATGTCAACACTACAATATTGTCACAAATCTATATTGTGGCACTTGTTCCGTAATGCTGTCATATTTGATTTTATTCATATTACCTTGCCCTTTGTTGACTGTTTAGTCGTTTAGTCTTTAAGATGTTAAATAGTTTAAAATCAGATCACATACAGCCAGAGCCCATGGAGACATCTTTTCTCTATTGCTTGTTTTTTTATGACCAACATTCCAAAACCCAAACAACACAAAGACATGACATGAAACCAGCACATTTGTGTCATTTTTGCTTCATTAAGTCTTGAGATTTATATGAGAAATCACAGTGGGGATTATTTACCGTACTAAAATGGTGTCACTTTACTGTCTGATGACACATTCCTTAACATGAGCATTCACGTATGAAACCTGAGTTGGGCCCGCACTAACTGGCTGTAATTACAGAGTGACATACAGTTCCACATGTATAATTATGTGGTTAAACAGAATACAGTCAGTCACAGAGCTAGGGCTCACTGAGTCCAGAGAGGGTTAAAAGGGGGTCCACTTAAGCTCTATAAATACCAAGACCTGCAATTGGAGGATCAATGATGATGACTGTGCTGCCATAGCAACTAGGCATAGAGAAGAGAAGAAGAATAACACAAATGAAGAACATGAGGGGCCAGGCATGCCCCTGATGAGAGGTGCTAGAATACAATGAATACATAAATGACGCATATTAACACTGTATGCAAACTTTGCCTTTCTCATAATGAGTTTTCTACTGGTAGATTGCCATTTTGAAAGGAAACACATGCACTTACAGAGACACAATATATATATATATATATGTATGTATGTATGTCCGATATATAATATGTTGCATTGTTGGAGGAGCTTGTAACCTAATAATTTCATTGACTAACTACACTGTAGCTACTGTGCATATGAAAATAAAATCCTTGAATCTTGAATATAAACATAATTGGAGTTAATCATGCAGTTCAGGGTTGTGGTTTATTTGCTGTCAAGTTAGGAAAAAAAAGTAAACAAGATATACTGAGTTAATCCGTAATTGCAATCCTTCATGTAAACTTCATCCAAAGGAGGATACATGACAATACATTCATAAGAATCCTACATGCTTAAAATGTTCACTTTTGTAGACAGTCTGGGTGTTCAAACATAAAATTAACACATGAAGTCCTGGCAAACATTTTAAGACAACAAAATAGGAAAATAACCTCTTGATTTATTTACCTTTTCTTCTGTCCAGGGAATTCCATCGGTGCAGTGGATGAGTGTCACCCAGATGGTCACACTCACAGTGTAAAATAAACGCATTTTGGAGGGACCGAGGCTTCGCTCAGCCATCGCTGTTGTCGCTCCTCTCCACATTCCTGTCTCTCTCCTCTGTGAAAGCTTACAGATCATGTGAAAAACAGGAGGGAGGACCCGAGGCTCACAACCCACATCGCGTCACTGGAGCTACTGTGTGTGCGTGTGTGTGTGTGTGTGTGTGTGTGTGTGTGTGTGTGTGTGTGTGTGCGCATCTTACCACCCAGGATGGAGTCTATAGTCTAAAGAATCTGCCTCAGGCCAAGTTTGTATGTGTGTGTGTGTGTGTATGTTTAGGGTCCTGGTCACAGCACCCTATCCCTCTTTGTTAACCCCCCCAACCATTACTTTACCCACATCATCCAGATGTAGACTTGCACCGGTGGAGGTGTGTGTGTGTGCGTCTGAGTGTGTGTGGGTGGTTGGGTCAGTGTTGTGACGTTTCTATGGTGTCTGTGTTCAGATGTGCGATTTTATCTGTGCATTTGTGTATGACTGGTGGTGGTGGTGTGTGTGTGTGTGTGTGTGTGTGTGTGTGTGTGTGTGTGTGTGTGTGTGTGTGTGTGTGTGTGTGGGTGTGTATTTTGGGGCTGCGGGGCAGATTTAGGATGACTGATGGGTCTGCGGGGCAGAGTTTGGATCTCTGACTGATGGGTTGCTGAGCGGTGGCTGAGGGACACTGAGACGCAGGCGGATCGATGGACACTCCACCTTCCCATCAGTAAAGTGTCTCACTCCATGCACACACACACACCACAGCACACACACACACACACACACACACCACACACACACACAGCACACCACACACACACACACACACCACACACCACACAGCACAGCACACACAGCAACACACACACCACACACACACACACACACACAACCACACAGCACACGCCACACATCCTGGGAGAAGAAGCAGGAAAGCAATGAGATCATACGGAGAAGAGACGGGTTGAATCCAGGCGTGTCAGGGTGGAATGTGTGTGTAGGGCCAGGTGAAAAATTAGGAGGTTGTTTGTAGACAGGAGCGACGTGCAATTAGTACCACAGCACACACACACACACACCACACAGACCACACACACACACAGCAGCACAGCACACACACACCCCCCTTTCAGGAGGCGCTGTGCCCGCATGCTAATGTCATGGAGTTTGGGTGCCTAGCGAAGTAAGTAACCAAGTAAGTTGTTCATTGCATTAGTTGCAGTTGAGTCTGTGTGAATTGTAATAATGTACCCCAGACTTTTCAATAAAGCCGAGTTACATAGCAACGAATGGCATATGTATACTATTCTAACAATAAAACCATAGTAACCGAGGTGCCAGCATTATTCTACTAGTTATTCTTTTGTCTTTCATTTTACTGAGTGGGTTTTGCTTATCTTGTAGATATTTGAATTATTATTTATTTTAGGCTTATTTCAGAATAAGAAGCCTTTATTCGTGCCACAGATGGGGGGGGGGCTGGTCAATATATTGAATCATTTATTTTATAAGAAACCTTTTTGGTCTCCTTGTATTGCTTGAATCTTATCATGTACTAAAGCTCGCCTTGGTAGCGGCCTTCTCTGTGGTATTGCGACAAACATCCCAAGGCATCAAAAAATGCCAGCCCAGACGGAATGCAGAGCGGGAGAAAGAGGATGATGTTGAGGATTAACAAACTTCTCTAGCAATTGCTCACCGTTCAGGACACAGAATCTCTCTGATGACAGACGTTCAGGCCTCACGGGCCAACGGTAAGAGAGGGCCGGACATTTAAAACTGGCTTTCCCGCACGCCTTCTCCTCAGCTTTTCTTTAGTGTTTCTCTTTTACGTTTGGCTGCTCCGTCATACGCTATAAACACATTGCTGTTGTCAGGTTTTGCTGCAGCTTGTTCTCTGTGCAGTGATTCGTCATCAGACGTGGGCGAAGTAGTGAGTAACAAATACTTTGTTACCTGTACTTAAGTGCATTTTTCTGGGTATCGTACTTTACTCCGATATGTTACTTTTATTCTTACACCCTTACTTTCTAAACTATTGGATATTGAACAGCGATCCGTGTATCCATCATTTCCTGTCTTACTCTAAAGAAGAGGGGAGTCAATGAAAACGTCTGTTCATGTTGCCGTTGTTAGCATGAGAACAGGTTCATTAGCTAACAATGACATTATTGTCTATTAACTAAGAGGGATGGTCAGGTACCTTTAAAAAAGACCTGCTATTTGGGAGTTTTATCTGAAGTACATTTCAAAGCCTCTTTAGCTTTACTGAGTAAAGAACTAGTCATGGCTTCTAGCTTCTACCAGAGTATTTATAAACATGATATCTGAACTTCTACCTTAAGTAAAGATGTGTGTACTTTTGCCATCTCTGTGATTACGGC